TACGATTGTTTTGTTTTCGTCGACTGTGACTACTTATTTAATTCAGTAATTAGGTTAAAATAAATTATTGTTGTTTTTGAGTGTTGGTTTGGGTCATCAAAACAAAAATTAATATGATAAAATTAAAGCTCTGTTAATTACAGTTGTAATATGGAAGATGTCCAAACATCTCTTTTTCAGTCTTCGTGTTTGGTTTGAATTTTTCTTCACACGCTCTCGGGAAGCGGCTTCATTGTTTCTATGGATTTTGTTTTTTAATAATAAAATAATATTTTCCCCAGTAAGTACCTAGTCGTATATATTAAGAACAAATATCTTGTTTTTCTTTATCTCCTTGCTCTGCTTACTGAGTAAAAAGTTTTGGGGTTTCTTCCATGGATGATGCTTGATATCAGATTAGGTACTTATCGTTGCAGGTTTCGTCATCTATATCTTAATTACTCTTTTTCCTTATCTTGGTTTTCTTCTTCTTCTTTCAGGTGATTTGTGGATTCCTTCGATAATCTAAATTACAAGTTTTTTTCACAAATTTCATAGAAAATGTCGTCAAGATCACCGAAAGCATTAGAGCTACAGCAATCGAGGGGTCCGATTCCTCCACAAGTGACTTTTGCTAGAAGAACCTCTTCAGGGCGCTATGTGAACTACTCAAGAGACGATCTGGATAGTGAAATTGGAAGCACAGAGTTCATGAATTACACAGTCCACATACCTGCTACACCCGACAATCAACCCATGGATCCTTCAATCTCCCAAAGGGTAGAAGAACAATACGTCTCAAACTCACTTTTCACAGGTGGGTTCAACAGTGTAACACGAGCTCACTTAATGGACAAAGTGATTGATTCGGAAACTACCCATCCACAAATGGCTGGAGCAAAAGGGTCTTCCTGTAAAATCCCTGGATGCGATGGAATTGTTATGAGCGATGAAAGGGGTGTTGATATTCTCCCATGTGAATGCGATTTCAAGATTTGTAGAGATTGTTACATTGATGCTGTGAAAACGGGTGATGGGATTTGTCCGGGTTGTAAAGAACCGTATAAACAAACGGATCTTGATCAACACAGTGTTGACCATCGACAACCTTTATCTCTTCCATCAAATATCCCAAATTCTAAAATGGAGAGAAGGGGTTCCTCAAAGATGGAAAGAAGGTTATCTTTGATGAAGTCGACAAAGTCAGCTTTGGTTAGAAGTCAAACAGGGGAGTTTGACCATAACCGATGGTTATTTGAAACCAGTGGGACTTATGGTTATGGGAATGCTTTTTGGCCAAAAGATGAAGGATTAAGTGAGGATAAAAATGAGCCAACTGGAGCTGAACAGCTTGAGCTTCTTAACAAACCATGGCGCCCTCTCACTCGTAAACTCAAAATCCCTGCTGCCATTATAAGTCCTTATCGGTATGTTTAAATGCAAGAATTAGCAACCTACTTTCATTCATTCTATTTTTGAAATAACTTCTTAATGTCTAATTGTGATGTATAATTATGTAGGCTTCTAGTTTTGGTTAGAATGGTGGTTCTTGGATTATTTCTTCATTGGAGAATAACTCATCCGAATGAAGATGCAATATGGCTATGGCTTATGTCGATTATTTGTGAGCTTTGGTTTGCATTTTCATGGCTACTTGATCAACTGCCCAAAATTTCCCCGGTCAACCGGGCAACTGACCTGAATGTTTTAAAAGAGAAATTTGAAACACCGTGTCCTCAAAACCCATCAGGAAAGTCTGATCTTCCAGGGGTAGATGTGTTTGTTTCCACAGCAGATCCAGATAAAGAACCACCTCTTGTTACAGCAAACACCATTTTATCCATTCTTGCTGCTAATTATCCTGTTGATAAGCTATCTTGTTATGTTTCTGATGATGGTGGTGCTCTTTTAACCTTTGAAGCCATGGCAGAGGCTGCAAGTTTTGCAAATTTATGGGTACCCTTTTGTAGGAAACATGATATTGAGCCGAGGAATCCTGAGTCTTATTTCAATTTGAAACGGGACCCGTATAAGAATAAGGTTAGGCAGGATTTTGTGAAGGATAGGAGACGAGTTAAACGGGAATATGATGAGTTTAAGGTCAGAATCAATGGGCTTCCTGATTCTATTCGTAGGCGTTCTGATGCTTATAATGCTAGAGAAGAGATTAAAGCCATGAAACTTCAAAAAGAAACAGCTGGTGATGAACTTCTGCAGCCTATTAAGATCCCTAAAGCTACATGGATGGCAGATGCTACTCATTGGCCTGGCACTTGGATGATACCTTCTCCAGAACATTCCAAGGGTGATCATGCAGGCATCATACAGGTGAGAATCTTAAATGCTTCTAAACTTGTCTAGATAATTGGTTTTTATTAAATAGGGCTAAATGCATTAAGTCATATATATAACTTATGAGATAAATTTTTTGTGTGTAAAATCAAATCAGGTGATGTTAAAACCACCGAGTGATGATCCACTAAACGGAACAGACAATGAAGTAAATCCATTGGATTTCTCGGAAGTGGACATCCGCCTCCCACTTCTTGTCTACGTGTCCCGTGAAAAACGTCCCGGATACGATCACAACAAAAAAGCCGGTGCCATGAACGCACTCGTCAGAGCTTCCGCCATCATGTCAAACGGGCCCTTCATGCTCAACCTCGATTGCGATCATTACATCTACAACTCCCAAGCCATCCGCGAAGGCATGTGCTTCATGATGGATCGTGGTGGGGACCGCATCTGTTACGTTCAATTCCCGCAACGTTTCGAAGGAATCGACCCCTCCGATCGTTATGCCAATCACAACACCGTTTTCTTCGACGGAAACATGCGCGCCCTCGATGGAATCCAAGGCCCCGTGTACGTTGGAACCGGAACGCTATTCCGGAGGACCGCGTTATACGGGTTCGACCCGCCCCGGTCTAAAGACTACCAGTCCGGATTTTCTTGTTGTTTTGGTCGAAAAAAGAAAAGCAAAAGCTCAGTTTCTTCCGCTCCCGATGAACATAAAGGATTGAGAATGGGTGATGATTACGATCCTGATTCTGATTCCGATATGAATCTTTCTTTGTTCCCGAAGAAGTTTGGGAACTCGAGTTTGTTGATCGATACGATCCCGATTGCGGAGTTTCAAGGTCGACCGCTTGCGGACCACCCTGCCGTCCAAAACGGTCGGCCTCCCGGTGCACTCACGATCCCGCGTGAGCTTCTAGATGCTTCTACAGTAGCGGAAGCAATCAGTGTCATTTCATGTTGGTATGAAGATAAAACCGAATGGGGGAACCGGGTCGGGTGGATCTACGGGTCGGTTACTGAAGATGTGGTTACAGGTTACCGGATGCATAACCGCGGGTGGCGGTCGATTTATTGTGTAACGAAACGAGACGCTTTCCGGGGAACCGCTCCGATTAATTTAACTGATCGTCTCCACCAGGTGCTCCGGTGGGCCACTGGGTCTGTTGAAATCTTTTTTTCTAAAAACAATGCGCTTTTAGCGAGCTCAAAGATGAAGTTTCTTCAACGGATTGCTTACCTTAACGTCGGAATCTACCCTTTCACCTCCATCTTCCTCATCGTTTACTGTTTCCTCCCGGCTCTTTCTTTATTTTCCGGCCAGTTTATCGTTCAGAGTCTCGACGTCACTTTTCTTGTTTACCTCCTGGCGATTACCCTAACTTTGTGTATGTTAGCTGTTCTTGAAATCAAATGGTCCGGAATTGAGCTCGAAGAATGGTGGAGGAACGAGCAGTTTTGGCTGATTGGTGGGACAAGCGCGCATCTCGCCGCTGTTCTTCAAGGTCTTTTAAAAGTGGTGGCCGGAATTGAAATCTCGTTCACTTTAACATCAAAATCCGGGGGTGATGAAGACGATGAATTCGCGGATCTTTACTTAATCAAATGGACGTCGTTGATGATTCCACCGATTGTGATCATGATGACGAATCTGATCGCGATTGCGGTTGGGTTTAGCAGGACGATTTACAGTGCGATACCGCAGTGGAGCCGGTTGTTGGGCGGAGTGTTTTTTAGCTTTTGGGTTTTGGCCCATTTGTATCCATTTGCGAAAGGTTTGATGGGCCGAAGAGGGAGGACTCCGACGATTGTTTTTGTTTGGTCAGGGCTAATTGCGATCACCATTTCGTTGCTTTGGGTTGCGATTAATCCGCCAGCTGGTGCTAATGAAATTGGTGGGTCTTTCCAGTTCCCTTGATTGTGAATTAGGAAGTTGGTATATTCTTCATTTGTTTTGGTCTTTAAGCTTTAGTCTTACACATATTCTTCATTTGTTATGTACTTTTCATACATGGATATTGTTGGCAACAAGTGTTAGTGTTTTAAATTTCTTCGTTTTTTCTTTTGATGTGGTAAATTTTAAAAAACTTAACATTGTTAGCACTAGAAAATGAAAAAACAGGCATCATAGAAGTTTTTATAAATTGATAAAGTACCAAAAGTAACTATATTACACAATTTTATTACAAATTTAAAAATGATAACCGCACCCTTTCGGCACTAGTCTCGCAAAAAAATACTTCGTGAATTTGCATATTCACAACTAACGAGAGAGGTGTGCATCAAGTTCAATAAGCTTACAAAGTTGATAAATTAAAGTAGCAACATTCAAATAATTAAATAATGAGATGGATATAGACCTCATAAGTCACTATGGTTCTATGAGATATATCTTGATTATGAAATGATCATATAATTGACATTTACATTTGCATTTGCATGCAAACGCTGAAATGATAATTAAATCTCATTAAGATTAAAGATTGCTTCATCAGCCTTCTACAATTCATGTTACATGTTCATAACTCTTTTTCTTTTTTTACTTGAAATTCATAAAGTATGGAAGCACTTTTAGTGACTAGTTTATTTATTTTAACCGGGCCAGATCAAGACATTAGTTGAAACCGAAAGAAAACTTAAGACAAAAGGAACGAAACAAAGAAAACATTATTGTAAATTAATTTGGATTATTCTACATTTCACTGTGGCGTCGATCAAAACTGTCATCTCATATTGTAAAGGTATCCTAGTTCTTTAAAGGGAAGCATGTCTAGTTGCATAGAAACTGATAAAACACCAAGGAAAATGATATTTTTTGATGGTATAGTACATGATCATTAGCTATACACAATGATACATGGTCTATGCTAGATACCCGTGGGCTTTTGTAGTACTTGCTTACGGTATGTAGCTAAAGCCCACATTGGAAAGATATCCCTATAAAGTGCATAGTGCAAGATACAAGTTTTCTTGAAAGCTCCAACTGATTCCTGCATTATGTAGTTTTCAAGTAATTAGCAAATACAGGAACCAAGCACAAATCGATAATTGTAACTTAATTAATTATCACTCTATATATCATTTGAAATCATCAGGTTCTTAGTATTTTATTTAATGTGATTGAAAATTAGAGGGATGTTTCTTCCTCTATGTGATATTTAAACCATGATTTGTTGGGTTATCCGTCGTATGTTGGATATAGCACATGCTATTAACAACAAACCAATAGTATCCACAATGATTTAAACTATAATGGATTGACACATAATCATTCCATGTTTCATACAACTTTACCATTTTTTTTCTACAATATATGCATTGAACTTTACAAAACATATTTTTATAAAAAAAACCATTTATTTGTTAAGCATTTAATATTAGAAGAGTTTTACGTTCCCAAATGAAGAGTTTAATGGTCATTGAAATCCATATCCACTGCACACCAATGTGGTATCCCATTATGGTTGAGTTTAATGCATTGAATGTAAACCAGACAATCCATCTCATGTGATCATTCTATTAAACTATGTAACGTGGATGCTCAAAATATCCAATTAGCATTACCTGTTGTGGAAAATCACCATTTTCCATCTGGGAATTAATCAACAACTTGGCTGCTCTGTGTAAAGGTGTTGGATCTCTCTCTTCCTGTACAATTGAAGACATGTATTACAATACAAATTATAAATGACAAGATAATATAAATACGTATGATATGTTATGAATTTTTTTACAAATAAGAACTGACCTGCTTGGAATGAATCAGTCCCATCATACCCCATGCAGTTTGTACCAAGTTGGACCTTCCTCCTTCTAGAACTACGTATGTCTGTTTATAAAGAAACCATTGAGATGAATGCAAGTATACATGCTTAATCGTGTATAATTTGAAATGATCAAAATGGATCGATATTTTTAAATAATTGGAAACTTGTCTTGTTGACGTATTACCTTTTCAGAGCAAGATCTATAACTTTCTCCCCAACCACCATCCTCTCGCTGTGTTTTCAGCAAAAAATTGACAGCTTTGCGGATTGACTGACAATTTTCATATGTCTTCCCGATTGCTGCTAGTCCTCCAAGAGCCCACCAGGTACCGTATATAAAACATACACCCCACTCTCCATACCTAATATCCATGTCTCTTTAATTTAGAAAAATAAATGTGATTTCAAGGGTTTTAAGAATTCTGATTGTGATGATGAAATGAGAAATAAACCATGAACCATCTGGCGTTTGCATTTTCTCCAGGTATCCACTTGCATCTGTAAGAAAACTATCTATTTCTTCCCTCCTATGTTCAGGATACAAATTCCTAAATATAACCAGGGTCTGCATTGCTGACGACGTGCATTCAACATACCTAATCCACAACGACCATGAAAAGTCTCTTAAAATCGACATTATATAGTATAATTTGTAACTAGTGAAGACATATATATATATATATATATATATATATATATATATATATATATATATATATATATATATATATATATATATATATATATGTAAGTAGTAAACAACATCTGAGTCTTACTCATGCTCAATGACAATGTCCTCAAAGAGTTCTGTAGGATTGAGAATCTAAATTGGAATAGAAATTCAATAAATAGGATTCATAATGACACATGCATTCATAAAAAAAGAAACAGTTCAACAGCAAGTCACCTCTAACCATTTTGATGATCCTGCTGGTTCCCATGCTGACATCCCACCATTTTTGCTCTACATTATCATGAGCGTTAAAAAATAGAACTTTTCAAGATTCACAAGATTAACGGTTTAGATATGTAAATTACTTATTCTACTTTTTCTTTATATCCCCTTCATCTTTCCCAACATCTAGGTTTTCTTCAACAAAAGTTTTCTAATAGTGTTTCCATGAAATGGAAAAGAGGAACAAGTAACATAAGCAATCTATGCTTGCCTTTAAGGAAAGTATAATGTTGACAGCCTCACTAAGTTGCTGAGGCTCCATCTCTTTGCCGACAATTTCAGGGGGCATCAGTGACAATAAAAGGCAACACTGAGTATAGAAAGTAAGTAGATATTATAGGCTATTTCGTGTTGTGTGCTTATGTGTTTCTGAAAAAAAAATACAAATACCTTCAACCCTTCAGAAGTACAATCTGTAACTTGCCATCCATGGTCTTGATCTGAAAAGGTCCATGACCCTCTAGAAATATGGCGATACATGCTTTTAAAGTCACCCGAAGGATTGTCCTTAACCTACATAAAAATTGATCAAGATCATTAATTGACAATCACATATAGGTACTTACTTTTATGTTTAACTAGTAATTCAAGACATGCATAATATTAGCTTTAATTTGGGTCTCAAAAACCTGTGAGGCTTTAATAAAATTATGTCCCTTCTTCAAGGTAAGGCCAATCTCGTGGGTCATATCTGTAGCCAACAAAGCTTGAATGGCAAGACTTGCATCCCATTGTTGACTGCCAAAAGTCTATTTTGAAATCACACCATCAAATTTTTTAATCATAATGATCTAATTAAGTTAATCTATCTAACATTATAGCATGTATCATGAAAAATATGTTTTTTTTTTTTTTTAAAGTTAATCTACCTGCATTTTCATCCCATCCTCAGTAACCCATAAAAAATCTGGGATTCTGGCAAGGTGCTTTTTAAAGTAGTCCCCGTTTGGATCCTCAACCCAACATGCAAGCATACACAAAGCCTGCACAATTTTTTTTAGAGGGAACATGAATACACATAACCTTAGGACTCGTACTTGTTAATATTTCTATGAATGTTCATGTGATTTTCTTTTCTCTTTACCTTCTCCACAGCACCAATTGTGATATATCGACTATTCTCATCTTCATAATGGATATGATCCATGGTTGTTTTGAGTGCTTTCTCCCGCAACTTGTTGAGTGGCCAATGTGTTAGGATTGGCTCAGTGAAAGTATAAAGACTGTTCCATATTAGATCTTGTAGTAAAGAATGAGGGTAGTATAGGTCCTCCTGAGATATTCAGTTAATATATGCAAATAAGAACTGAAAAGATATAAGCAAACCAATGAGGGAAGCAAGTAATTCACCTTTGCACACAAATGTCTTGTACCAAACCAATTAATTTGATCATAGGGCTGTGCGTATAATTCTTCTCGTAATTGTAAAACCAGATGACTGATTGGACCAACAAACCTCTTTCCGTATAGGTAAGACATTGGCATGTATATCAGTCGACAGAAACACCACATTTTTGCTGTATTTGGACAAACAAAACCAGTAAGGGTAAAGTTATCAACATAATACATGGTCATTGATGTTAATTGATCTTGAAATCTGGTATGATATATAGTTTTAAGATGTTTTTCTTGAATCTTTTAATGATTTAATCATACATTATTTTTTTTTGGAAATGACAATGTATTAAAATAGGCCAACATTGGCTAGCAAGTAACTAAAAAATTACATTTTATTAGCAACTGTTGAAGTGTATTCTAGACTTTTAACATGTTTTGGTGATTTTAGTTATTTTTAGTTATAGGTTAGTTTTGGTGGCTTAAGTCAGTTAACCCAAGTATAACCGTCAATATGAAAAGTTAATTATGATTGTTACTTGATGGATTGCAATTGTTGAGTTTGTTGTGTACCTACATATAAGTAAATAAGTGTATGTATATTCGTAACATGGTGTGGAGTTAATAAAAGTATGTGTTACTTTGTAAAGCAATCATCTTTTCATTACTTTGATTGCAGAAAAGTTCCTGTAACTATTATGTTTTTAGACTAACTCCAACAAAGTGGCATCAGAGCCTTGTTCGTGACTTTGGAAGATGATCTCCATAGTAAAGTACGGACCAGTGATGAAAGAAAGCATATATATAGTTCAAGGAAAGGACGATATGTTTTTGTTTCAGAAGAAATATATTATGCACCTTATGCATGGTGTTTGTGTGAGAAAAGACCCAGAAGGAAAATACCAAGGGCAATGAAAATATGAGTTTGAGGATTCTATAATTAATCCCAATGAAGAAAGTGATCCCTTAGAGATTTTTGTAAGGCTGCTAGGTATGGGATTAAAACACCATGGAGGAGGATGGGTTGGCCTCTCTCCACGTCGTTGAGCTCCTTGGAACACTGCCCCATCATATCGCGTCGTGCATACCATGGACAACTCGATGCAAGGCGGTGCGTATGGAAATCATTCAAACGGTCAAATGGACCGGTCGAATTTTCAATTTTTTACCTCTATAAATATAAGATCCACTTCATTTTTTTACACACTACTACCATTTTTACTATCTTTTTATACGATTTTCCAACATATTTTTATATTATAGATTTGTTTGACTCGTCCTCCGATGATGATATATTCCTCACCATGATGTACAAGTATTACGCTAATGAACTACAAGAAGAAAATGAAACCACTCTACGAACAAGAAGCGTGGGGCTAAATAGAAATCACGATTTCTTTGCGATAATTGTGTATACAACTTAAATGATTTCAATGAAAGTTTGAGTAGGAAAGTGTTTGTATAGATAGCTAACGCTTTAGAAAGCATGTATCGTTTCTTTCATATTTATACCTGTTAAATATATCTTTATATATAATAAATACATATTTTTACCTATTAAGTATATCTTTAGGTATCGTTTTTTCCAATTGAAATATGATGGTAGAGGTAGGCGGGGATTCACATCATTGCAGAAATGTGCTGCAACAATTCAATTGATGGCTTACGGGGAGTCACCGGGATCCGTTGACGATTATTTGAAAATGTATTAATGAACTCCAAAAGAAAGTTTGTATAGATTGTCAAAAGATGTTGTTGAAATATTTGATTACGTTTATTTGCAGAAACCTTTGTTGAATGATATGCAATAACTATATGCGACATATGAAGAGAGACATGGTTTTCTCGGTATGCTTACAAGAACTGATTGTACACACTGAGATTAGAGAAATTGTCCCCGGGGGTGGAGAGTGGATTTTGGAAGTGGTCATCATGAAACACCTTTGTTGCTATTAGAGGCTATTGCTTCCCAAGTGTGGATTTAACATGCTTTTTTCGGGGTTGTGAGTTCCAACAACGACATCCTCATTCTTGATCATTCACCAATATTCAACAATATGATTTTTGAAAAGACTCAAGATGCTCCTTTCACAGTAAATAGAAATGAATATAATTTTGGGTATTACCTTACGGATGAAATATATCGTACGTATTCCACATTTGTGAAGGCATTCCGACACCCAGTATAAAGGAGAGAACGATTCTTCAAGAGAAGACAGAAAGCAACACGTAAGGATGTGTAACGTGCTTTTGGAGTCCTAAAGATGAAGTGACACATAGTAGAACATGCATCACATCCATATGATATAGAAAGTTTATGATATATTATATATACATGTATCATAATGCATAATATGGTAGTGGGAGATAAATGACGGAATATTGCACAATATATACCAATAGAGCCCCAACACATGCAATTTGTACAAGGTTCAGCGAAATATTTGCATAAAGTCGTTGACATTCAAGACACAAAAACACGAGCGGTTTCGACAAGACTTTTCGGATCATATCTACGATGCTAACGATGATAACGAGTAGTGCATTTACAAAAAAAACATTATGTCGTTTATTTTCACGTTATGTTTTATAAAATTGTTTTTTTATATAATTATCTAATTTATTTCTAAAACTATAAAAAATGAAAAAAAAATAAATTAAAACTTGATAAAAGAAAAAGAAAAAAATGACATGAAAATTATTTTGGTGTGGCGACCATGTCCTAGCTAAAATAATGTGGTGTGAGAGTGACATGACATATGAGGTGACAAAATTGGTATGGAGAGAGTGCCAATATCCACCGGCCTAAAGAGAAAGTGATAGAAAATGGGCAGTTTTTTGCATCGCCTAATTGTGATAAAGAGAAGCAGTCCATGTGTTATGGAAGGTGTGGGTGTAATTCGAATTTAAGGTGTGACCTTTCGAAGGTTAAAGCTGGTGGGTATGGGTCACACCCTCCACACTATTTTGTTTGCCACATCATATGTCATATCAACTCCACACCATTTAATATTTACTAGAAAATACCCACCACACATGACACAACCACACCATATTTGATAGAAAAAAAAAAATAAAAAAAAATTGAAAGTTGATTAGTCTAAGCCTTTGTCCCCCACGCTGAGTCATGTTGAGTCACCAACATATTTCCACATAACATGAAGGTGGGGTGGTCTTCCAATCACCTTAACGACATGGAGGAGTGCCAACTCAGTCTCCTCCACCCTATTAAGGGTACATAACGCATAGCCTAATAGTGTACTTATGTTTCAAGGAACAAGTTGAGAAGCACAAAGAATCATTCACGTACAACGTACGGGTACATGTCTCACATAGCCACACACACAATGCACATCTAACTGTAGGATTCAAAACGAATGTTATTGTCATGATAAAAAAAGAACAAGAGGAGAAGCACGTAGTAGAAGACATTTGTTATGGCCATGATAATGAACATGTATGCAATGAAAGACAACGATGGTCGTTGTGGTTAAGTGAGTCATTGTGGAGAAAAGAAGAACGATGAGTGTTGCGTTAATGATGTGGAAGAGGTACATGGTCATGATCATGTACATGGATGGAGTATATATGAGTTCAAATAACTATTACCGAGGAGGTCCCTCACGGAACATTAGTAATATTTTACTAGTAATATTTTGGATGTGCTTGAACCACAATCCTTAATTATAATAAAATGGTGAAAAGAGTCTACACTTGATGTTCTTGAAGTGGAAATGGTATTGGGATCAGTTGCGGTTTCAAGCCGTGAAAAGGCTAATTAGGAGATGGCATACATTGAGGAAGTTGATGTTCCACTGAGAGGGTTCTTCCGGTATCTCCAAGAAGGAGGATGATATCTCAAAACGGGTGGAGGGTGGAAACTTTGAGGTGGTGTCAAGTGATGGAGGAGGTGGATGTCTAGAAGTTGAAAGAACTTTAATTAAGTACCGAATCAGAGGTGGAAGACTTAGTCTTAGGAAACAATAAAGAAATATTATGGTTGGATGATTTCTCTGTACATTAAACACAAACATATATATAGAGTACAAGAGGGTAAATAAGGAAAATACAATAATACATAATATATGCTAAACTAATACATAATATATACCAAACTATCTATAATCGCTAATACCCCCTCATGCGAACAGGTGGCAATCTTAGACCCAAATGATCTCGGAATAATTCAAACGCAGGTTGAGGAAGCAGTTTGGTGAAGATATCTGCCACTTGGTAGGAACAAATTTTGTATGATGTTTCCCAACTAAAACCAACTCATGAACGAAGTGATAGTTAATATCAATATGCTTTACATGTTTGTGAGCAATCAGATTTTGGCTCATAAAAATAACACTGAGATTATCACATAAAAAGTAGGTCGACTAGGCGGTAAAGCATTTAGATCACGCAAATGATGGGTGATCCAAATAATTTTAGAGGTCGGCTTTGCCATAGCTCTGTATTCGGATTCACAACTGCATCTCGAAAAAGTAGGTTGCTTTTTAGTGCTCCATGAGACCAAGTTACCTGCCAGAACAATTGAATAACCATATGTTGATCGTCTAGTTTCGATGCGTCTTTCTTAATCCACATCATAGTAGCCAACAATAGAATGGTTAACTGTACGTTTGAAGACCAAACCATGTGAAAGATTTCCTTTGACATATCGCAAAATCCTTTTTACTGACTGAAAATGAGAAGTTATTGGAGCATGGATAAATTGACTAGCCTGATTAACCGCGTAAGAAAGATCTAGTCGAGTAATTGTTAAATATTATAGAGCTCCAACCAAAGATCGATAGTAAGTAGCATCTGAAAAGGCATTACCTGTGGAAGAGAACACATCAGTAGTACTTATAGGGGTATCGACGGGTTTGGAATCAATCAAGACAACTCGTTTCAGAATTTCAGAAGCATATTTCGTTTGATATAGGAACAAGGCATTTCACGTGCGTGTGACCTTAAGACCAAGGAAATATATGAGTTCACCAAGATCTTTGGTGGCGAATTTTTGTGAAGAGAATCACTGAAACGTTTAATGGAAGACTCATTTCTGGTGAGAATGATATCATCGACATTAACAAGGAGGTAAAATGAGACATGATCTTTTAAGGAAGGTAAATAACGATGTGTCATCTTGACTGCAAGTGAAACCTTGTTGAATCAGGAACGTGCTTAATCGTTGAAACGATACACATGGGGTTTGTTTAAGACCGCACAAAGCCTTTTTTAGACGACAAACATGATTGGGAAAGCGTTTGTTAATAAAACCTGGGGGTTGTTACATAAAAAACTGTTTCAAAGAGGTTGCTATTTATAAAATCATTTTTGATATCCAGTTGATGCAAGGACCAACCTCGAGTAATAGCAATAGAAAGCACGACTCGAACGGTGGTAACTTTAATAACCGGGTTGAAAGTGTGTGAAAAATCGAATCCTAGGATTTGACTAAATTCTTAAGCAACGAGACGAGCTTTGAAGTGATCTATAGAACCATTTTCCTTGTATTTGGTGCGAAAAATCCATTTAGATCCAAAAATATTGGAGTTGGACGGACGTGGAATAAGATCCCAGGTGTTGCTCTTGTGTAGGGTAGCAAGCTCATCTATCATGGCTGCCATCCAACGATAATCCTTGGCACTAGTTTTAAACCCTTTTGGTTAAAAGGAAACCATAAGGGCGGAATGTAAACCAGATGGGGAGAGACATGCAAGATCAACTTGATATTTTGGACGACTATGACCGGTTTTTGAATGAGTCAACATGTGATGTGGAGCGATCGGTGGTGGGCTGGTGGATGTGATAGTAACTGGCAGTGGGGAAGAGGGAGGAGGTGATGAAGGGGTTGAGTGAGATGGAGCTATTGGAGAAGGAGGTGATGAATCGACTGGAACATTAGTGGAAGGGTTTGGATGAGGACAAAGTGTGCATAGTGGGTGGAAAAAATGGGATGTGGATTCAGGAGGTGAGGGTAGCGTAATGGTATAAGAGGGTGAATCCTCTTCAAGGTAGGTGGAAAATAATAATGGTGAGGAGGATGGTAGAATCGGGTTTTTAGAAAAAGGGAACACAGTTTCGTCAAAACGAGCATGTCGGGTGATATAGATACGAGAGGATATTGGTTCTAAACATTTGTAGCCTTTGTATCGATTGGAATATCCCAAAAAAAAATACACGGTAGACTTCTATGTACCAGTTTGTGATCAACATAGTGTCTCAAATATGGATATACACAACAACCGAAAACCTTAAGATTTTCATAATGTGGTTTCGATTGAAACATGAGCTCAAAAGGAGATTTATTGCCCAATAATCTGGCTGGGAGCCAATTAATAATATGAGTCGCAGAAATGAAGGCGTCGACCCAAAGAGATGCTGGCGTGCTGGATTCAAATAACATACTCAAACCAGTTTTGGTGATGTGACAGTGTTTTCCTTCGGCTCAGCCATTTTGCTCTGGGGTTTATGGAAATGATAATCGATGATGAGTTTCGTTTTCCAAAAAAAAAATTGCTTAACACGGCCTTTTACAAACTCAGTTCCAGCATTAGACTGAAAAACCTTGAGTTTGGTGGAAAACTGAGTTTGAACAAAGGTAAGGAACACTTTTAGTGTCTCAAAGAAATCGCTCTTGCTTTTGAGAGAATAAAACCATGCAAATCTGGAGAAGTCGTCTATGATATTTCATAATAACGATATCCATCGGTAGATAAAATAGGAGACGGTCCCTATAAATCACAGTGAACTAGGTCAAGGACATGTAAAGCACCTTTATCATTATTCACAAAAGGAAACCGATGTTGCTTTGCAAGTTGACAAGAAGAACATATAGTAGGTTTTGGTAACAAAGAAGTGAAAGACATGCAACCACTTTGTTTTAACAAAGAAATAATATTAGATGTAGCATGGCCTAAACGAGTATGCCAAATTTCATATGAAGCGCATGGAGGAGAACGGCTCTGAACGACGACATGTGCTTGAATGCTTGGCTTAAGAACATAAAGTCCATCTTCATGGCGTCCTTTTTCCAGGATTGTCTCTGTCTTGCGAACATGAATAGAAAAGTAATCACGTGAAAATAAAATATCAAGAGGGTAATCACATGTTACCTTGCTAACAAAAAGTAAATTCTTGGATAATTGAGGAACGACAATAACATCTTTTAAAGGGATATTCTTAAAGAGACTGATGTGGTTAATATGCGAGACGGGTAGAACATTACCATTGCCAAATGTGATTTTTTCGTAACTAGGAAGGGTTGAGACGAGTCCAAATTGCTAGAGGATGGAGCCATATGAGCCATAGCTCCCGAGACCACATACCAATCTGGTGTAAAATCAGAAAAATTGCAATTTTCATTGAAAGCTTGAGCCAAAAATTGCAATTAGACGAGTTTCCTTAAGCGAAAAAAGCAAGATTGGGGCATGATGGAGCATAATGACCATCCGTACGACATAATTGACAATGAGGAGGGCGTCGACTCCTACCACGACCATTAGAAGAGTTGCGATTGGAGGGGCTACCCCGACCACGATATGATGACCCATAATTGTTAAACCCTTGTTGACGAGCCGTGAATGCAACACGTGAAGGTATGTTTGAGCCATGAAGGGAAACCATAAATAACTCGTGACTTTCGGATTTTAACATCAGATCTTTGAATGGTGGTGGTGGATAAATGTCTAGATGAGCAGTAGAGAATGTATCAAAAGCAGATCCTAGTCTGCATAAGAAACAATGGGTTTTATCACTGTCTACAACGTGTTGTCCGATGGTTGCCAATTGATCACACAAAGCTTTGAATTTTTTAGCAAACTAAAAAACAGAGGAGGTACCTTTCTTGAGTTGCCAGAGAGAATCATGCAAGTTTTGAGAACGTTCAACATAATCATGACTATAAGCCGATTCTAAAGAAAGCTAGAGTTGTCGAGCATTTTGATGGCCTAGGGACTCGGCCATGGCCTCTTCAGTTAGGGAAGAGTTGAGAAGCAGGCGTAAACGTTGATCGGCTTCAAGCCAGACGACATGTGCTGGGTTTGGTAGAACTGAATTCTTTTCACCAGAAATAGTTGTTGGTGGTTTTGAAATCAATCCATCCACATAACCTAGCAACTATTTATGAGATAGGAGAGGATAAACTTGATTTTTCCACATGAGATAATTAGAAGATGACAATTTAATAGTCAACATATGGAGAAGAGTAGCCACGGGGAGATTTCGTTCAAAATTTGGAGAGGGGGACAACATAGTGAAGAGCAGGGAAGAAGAGGAAGAACTTAGATTGTCAGTAATTAGGGTTTAGAGGATCGATGGTTAGGCTAATACCATCTTAGGAAACAATAAAGAAATATTATGGCCGAATGATTTCTCCGTACATTAAACACAAACATATATACAGAGTACAAGAGGGTAAATAGGGAAATACAATAATACATAATATATGCTAACCTAATACAGAATATATACCAAAATATCTATAATCACTAATACTTAGTCTCGGCTCGAATATTTGGCTCTTAGATCGGAAGTGTGAGATGACTTAATTAATTGCAAGTCAACACGGAGCTTCTTTGTAACTCACAAATAAAGTCTTCAGGTGGTTTTATTTATGGGGCACCTCGGGATACCGCACGGGCAACGACGAGTGCCGAACTCGACCGCGAGTGACAGTACGTATGCTCCCATCAGAAGCAATTAAATAGCCAAAATCTTTGGATTTTTTTGTTTGTTTCATTTCAATTTCTATTGCTAGTTCTAGTTCAGCACAACATTCTGGTCTACATTGCTCATGTTTCTATGTAATTAAAGGGTTAAGAGGGGGGGGGGGGGGGGGGGGGGGGGTTCCATGAAAAATAGAGCCAAATATTCCATGAATAAATTTGTAGCAAATGAAAGGAAAAACACACATCTAAAACAGCAGAACACAGTTGTTACCAATCTAAAACATATCAACTTGCATGTCTTAGAATTGCTAGAGAGCCAAGCTAACCTGGATGCATAGGCATGAAGGAAGGGATGATCCAGAACTCTGGGGGCATTGGGTTGCTTCCTGCCCATTCTGAAACGCCAAGGATCTACCATGTACACGTTTTTTTAAAGATTGATAGGAAAAAAAATAAAATAAAGGCATATATACACATTAATGTCTTACTGAAAGCCAAGTTTTCCCCCAAGAAGGATTGGCTGTCGCCGTGCCATGATCTAAAATCCATTTTCTTGCTTTGGTGCATGAACCATCCAAACCACCATCAGGCCCTTCTCCTAAAAGACGCATGCAAATGTAACTGAGGGTGGTGCAAAACATTGTGCTAGGACCTTCTATGTGAAGTCCCCAACCACCATCTTCGTTCTGTACATTAATCGGCCACATCTATGCGTCAAATGGTATAATTGGATCGATGTCTTTGTGTACGGATGCACACATATATGATACAAATTAAAAGGTATGCATACATAAATCTGTCATCCGTACGTTATAGTAGTAACATTTAGTACCTTACCTGATGACAATATAAGTACCGAAGAGTTTCTTTTCTGTGTTCTGCTGAGAAGACGCTGTTAAGATGGCCTGTGATATACAAGCATATAACCTGCAAGAATTGTTATCAGCTTGTCAATATGAGATATATACCGGCTGATCATACACCTTATAAAAACTAATTATATATGAGTATGAAAGAAAATCAAAATATTTACCAATGGCGGCATAAAATACAAAAGACCAGCATTTTCAGCTGGCCAATGGCCATCGTCCGCCTGCAAGGCGGCAAATAAGTGAACAGACCTCCTCAAGGCGGTGGTAGCTTTTTCATAAGAGATCTCTTCATCATCCTCTAACTTCACCTGAGGTATGGTCTGTTTGAATAGCTTCTCTCTCAAAAACTGCATATACATATAGATAGTTCGAAATTTGATTTACAGAAAAATAAAGGTACGAATTGAAATCCAGGAAATTAAGAAAGAGCAACGATCGACCTGCATGCGCCAAAGGACATCACTGGTGGGCTTGACCTGGTGTCGATGGTTCCAGAAATGGAGACGAGCTTGTTCAACCTCCTCACGCTCTTCTGCAGTTCCATAGTTAGGATCAAACTCCCATATTTGCCTACCAACAAAGTTGTTTGTGCTGTACAGGTATGGATTGTTACCCCCTTCAGCTATCTTCAATCTCCACATTTTGCTGCAATTGCTTATCAGTACGTTGAAGCTATCAGTAAATTGTGAAAACAATATCTCAAGTAGTTAAAAATGACGGTATAGCCTGTGAATGTGTAAATGCAACGACTTGATATATTTAAATATTGACACTTAGCATTACAACTGCCACCTGTTTTTACAGTGCATGCAATAAGAGCCGATCAGAAATACATGTATCCAAGTCTCTTAAAGATATGTTATATTTGCATTTCGTAAATACGTAGCATTAATGATGTAGACTCAGAAGTCATTCAATATTGATGGGGATTCAAAACTTCAATACGTGTTTCTTCCATTTTCCTTTATTAGGCTAATTAAGCGGCTAAGCACATGGGTCCGGCAAAGTTCCTTTTAAAGAAAAACAGCAATAATATTGCCGACACTACTAGCGATCCGGGCTATATGTAGCAGTGACGCCATTATTAATTAGCTGCTACATCGGCTATAGCGGTAGGATGGTGATTTTCGATAATATACAATAAATAAACAGGTTTGGACCGGTTTAATTAAACATAAGGCCATCCACATCAGTGCAATAACATGTAGTCTTTTAAACGTGCCACGTCAGCTTTCCAATAACTTTTACATCAATTCAATAACATTTATCTTTCAAAAGTGGTCCCACTCCCACATCAAACATCCAATTTGTATTTTTTTAATTTATATCTAAAATATTTATACTTAGTATTAGTTAATATTGAATTAAAAGTTTATTACTGACTTATAAATTGAACAGTTTTTAATAGATAAGTATATTTATATAAGAAAGATTAAATATCTTCCTACTTTTCCTCTTAATTATCTTCCTATCCACTTTAAATGATGACAAGTGTCTTAAAATATAATTAATTTTATCAAAATATGACACATGTCACCATTTCAAATGGGTAGGAAGATAAGTAGGAAGAAATGGTAGGAGGATATTTAATTTCTCATTTATATAATACAAGTTAATGTAATTATTATATACATAAATCTAATTTGTAAATAACAAGTACCACGTATAATTTTTTAATAATCAAATACTTCATATAAAATCAAAAAAATTAGATTTTTAAGTAAATTGTGGGACCATATGCCTTTGCAAGGCTTTCAAATTCTGAAAGACAAGAGCTTAGGTGGATTTGAAATATGCTTATATGTGGACTTGCAATTTTCATTTGCAAGAAAGGGTGTGGATGCTCTAACATAATTACATAAAAATGGGTAAGGATAAAGGGAAGGTTAAGGTCCAAACTTTTAACATGAAAATGATCAATATGTAACTTCTTTACTTAATATTTTAGGTAAACTAGATATTCTCAAAACCAAAACCAAGTATAATTTTTTTTAGATTGAATTGTTTTGTAATGCGGAAGCCGCACCAATCAATATTTATTTTTATTTATTTTTTTCATTAATATCCATACTCTACAACCTCACTCGCCAACTTTCCCTTCGATACGACTTCTATTCTCTAAAATATTGTGAATTTTCCCCTCTTGCTACTCCTACCGATTTTTCACCTTTTCTTTTCAACCTTTCCAACTCTTACTTGTTCAAAATATTTAGTGCTTCAATCTAACATAACACGACATATTTACACGGTCTAAACCCTAAACCCGACACGAACTCGACATAAAAATAAACGGATTGACACAACATGATACGATAATTAAATGGATTGGGTTAGGGTCAAGTTATTTCAACTCATTTAAGTTTCAATCCAACACAAACACAACACAGCATGCCTGTCACCCCTATATAGCAACGACACTAAATTGTCCATGTTTTGTGTCGCATCTATAGCTCGTTTTACCCAATTTGTATGGTCGTTGATGCATTTATACTAACCATTGATAAACATTCTCAATCCAATGGTTAGGGTTTGTTCTTAGTCCACCATTAGCGGCGACAACTTTTTGCTGCCAATACCCCCAAGATTTTGCCCACATGAAGTTCCCTCTACTACTTTCAGTAGTGGCTGCTATTGCGACTTAACTGTCGTGCAAATGCTCTTTGTTGCCGCTAAACATGTCGCCCATAAAGAATATGTCCTTTAGATTCTTCTTTCTCCTATTTTCCGGATTACACTCCGTCTCTTTCTCTCCAAAAAATCTAACCATCAAGTTCACCACCGGAGTAACTCTTCACCATTCACTAATTCCACTAAAGAACGCCAAAATTTGTCTTATTCTCACTAAAAGCTCAGGCAATCAACACGAATAACTCCGTTTTCCTCTTATTGTCGGCGACCACCACCACCACTAAGTAGGTTTTGCTTCACTCCACTGATTTAGTTACTGATTTCATGCTTAGGCTACTAATTTGTTAATATGCTTTGTATATGGGTAATGGTTTGTTATTTTTCAATTGGAAAGTGGTTAATGATTTGTTTATTTGCTTATAAATGGTTAATGATTTCTTAAGATGTTTGGAAAATCACAGCCTTAGCATTTATTAATTTGTTTGAAAAATGACTTAATTGTTAAGAACTTGATTTATAACGACTTGATGATTTGTTAATCTAATTTTCTTTTGACTTAATTATTAAGTCGAAAAGTTTGTTTTTGTTGTGACTTAAATGTTAAAGACTTTGTGCACTTTTATGTAATCATTATGACCTTAGTTTGTAATGACTTAACTAGGCAAGTCCTAAAAACTAAATAACATGTAAAGTACATGTATCACCTGATTCATGGTATTTTTCATTTTGAGTCTTGGTGTGTAATTAGTTTGCAAATTTGGTCCCTATGGGCATGATTGTAATTTTTGGGAAGGGGAGCGTACGCTGGGCATACCTCTTGTACGCGGGGCGTACGTAATTAGGGGACAAACCCTAATTTCAAGGTTTGGACCCTATTTAAGAAACCTTATGCCCAAGGTTTTCTCCTTACTAGCCACCTTAGCCTCTTTTGTGTCCCTCTATGGACTCGCCGAGTTCCTCTATCTGATTGATCCATCTCAATGGATTAAGCTCCTACCCTTCATATCCAAACTCCATACTTCATCTACACACTGGGAATACACTTTTAAGGGTAAAGTTTCCAACTTTACCCGCTATTAGTCCTTCTTAATGGTTTTAGCTCAAACCCTAACTCTCTAGAACATAGATCTTGGTCCACAAGCCATAATACTCTAAACCAAAGCACATTATAATAGATCTAGGCCTTGGACATTAGTTGGATACGTAAAGTTCCTAGCTTTCCTTCCATGCATGGCCTTTTAGGGATAAAAACGCCATAATAACGTTTTTATGCTTGCATGGGGCTTCCATGGTCATAAATTTTGCACCTTTATGCCATGGAACCCCTTCCAGATTCCAGATCTGAAATGTAAGTCACTTGGGACGTCCAAATCCCAAAGACCAAGGTTCTTGAACCAAAACCCTCATAAAAATGAAAGTAAGTAGATCTAATGATTGAATGATCAAGTTAGAGACTTGATTACCAGAAAGTGATGAGGATGGAAGGAACTCCCTGGATCTACTATCTTCTTCTTGAACCTTCTAGCTCATTCTTCCTCTACTAGCTTCAAGAACACACAAAATCACTCAAGAATGGCTCACACACTCACAAAATGCTTTAGGATTTTGTGGATTAGGGTTGGACTTGGAGGCTGGAAATGAGTCCAAAAGGTGGGGATTATGATGCTTAAATCGGGTGCAAAACCCCGAAATTAGGGTTTCACTCTGGCAGACCTACTCGCCGAGTCGAGGGCTCTTGACTCGTCGAGTAGATGGCTGAAAACCCGCGTCCAAGACTCGATTCTACTCGATGAGTTTGGGGCTTCCAACTCGTCGAGTAGCTCTATAAAAATGAATAATTTTATAAATAAATACGTACCAGAAACCGGGCGTTACAATTATCCCCCACTTGTCTTAGACTTCGTCCTCGAAGTCTGCTGTGTCTGGAAACAAATCTGCCCATTACGACATAGTCCCTACTGTAGAGGAATTTCGACTACTACAAGAACAATTTGGTTTCTTACCGGAGCATGGCGTGATGATTCCGGCGAAAGGATCATCGATCTATGACTGTCCTCGAGGGAAAATGGGGGTTCCTGTTCGTCTATTCGAAGCGGGGTTACGCCTGCCAACATATGACTTATTTGATATGATCGTGCATCACTACGACTTTTCCGTTGACGAATTAACCCCCAGTGCCTCCAATAAGATCGTAGGCTTCAAACCGATCTGTCAATCTCTGGGTTGCATACCTACTTTTTGGGTTTTCAGTTACTTCTTTTGTGCGTCTACGAACTCCGACGTACGCACGCTGGTGAAAAGGCGGGGCATTCGTCAGTTGATCTCTGAGCAAGATACTCCGAAGAAAAATTGGCAAAGGCAATGGCTCTGGGTCAACCAAAGCCTTGTGCGACATGGGTTTTGTAAAGCCCAAGACTTTCCCGACCGTCTACCCAAGCTATTCCGGGATAACCTAACTCTTGGAAAACGGCTGGGAAACATTACTGTCATCGGGGAGATGTGGAAAGATTTCATCCTTGCCGCAGCCGGCATGAGTGTCGCCTGGAGGGCGCGTGGGAAGATGGCGCAATTATTCGTCGTGAAATGTGGTATTCGCTCATCTGCTTCTCCCCCCCCCTTTAAAAAAATAATAATAATAAGAACAAAGTATTTTATTGGCTTGTCAGTTCTCATGCTTGGTGTTTGTGTTTGCAGGTGCCGAAGCCGAGATTTCCTTCGAGATGGCCCTGCGTGGTCACTATCGGGGTAAGATTTGTCACTGGGAGGTTGACCTTGTGGAGACTCTTCCTCCTCCCGTATCAGAAAAACGTATGCGGGAGCTTGCTGGATTGCTCTCGGTATAAGGGGGAAATGTTGGTTCTAGCGAACTTGCCTCGTCTTCTCAACTGGTTGTTGGGGCCATTTTCCCAGCCCGTTTTCCGGCCTCTGCTTCTGCCGATATTCCTATGGTGGATCAAGTAGGAAAAGGTACTACTCCTACCCGGAAAAAACAAAGTGTGCGTGTGGTGCTGTCATCGGACGAAGAGACTGAATCTGATGACGTGGGCCTTCGTCCTCGTAAGATGCGAAACAATGTATCAGTGCCCAAGCTTCTTGGTGATATTGGGGATGTTCTTGGCGATGGGTTTTATGTGCCCAGGCAGAAAGAGATGGTGGTGATGCCCAATTCTTCAAAGACATC